CAGTCTTTGAAAACATCAACACATATATATGTATCAGACCTTTAGGAGTCATTTCCTAACCAGGAAAGGTTTCTTCTTTCTCTTCCTTTACCCCACAGAAAAAACAATGGCAATTTCATTTTTCCATACCTAATAGTCCACAAAAGCAATAAGGCCTGTTATAAAGTTTGACCTTGAAATTTATGGTTAGGAATGAAGGAATCAAATAAAAATGATCCCTTGGAGAACAAAATTTCTTAATAGTAGTTGGTTTACACTGGGCAAAACAGATGTCCAAAAGGGACGGTGGGTTCATTGCCTCCATTCTCATGCTCACCTTCAATAAAGACAGGCATTCAAGCATAGACGTTTTATGCATTGTTGATGACAGTCTTCATGTTTGGAGAGGGGTCTTCTTATATTTGGAATAATTTCTTTGTCTTTATAGGGTGACTGGCAGCCAGTCACAAGTGGTGTTCCCAGGGCCCAGTAGTGGTGGCAGTCCCATTTAATATCTTTATTAATGATCTGGGTGAGGGGTGATCTGGATGCCCCCTCAGTCAGTTTGCAGATTACACCAAGCTGGGTGGGAATGTTGATCTGCTGGAGGGCAGGAAGGTTCTGCAGAGGAAACTGGACAGCCTGGATTGATGGGCCAAGGTCAGTGGTATGGGGTTCAATAAGGCAAAGTGTCAGTTCCTGTGCTTGGGTCAGCACAAACCCAGGCAACAACACCACAGAGAGGCTGAGAAAGACATGAGGCTGGTTGACAGCAGCTGAACRTGAGCCAGCTTTGCCCAGGTAGTCGGGAAAGCCAATGGCATCCTGGCCTGCATCAGCAAGGCTGGCCAGAAGGGCTAGTGAAGGGATCATATCCTGGTACTCTGGTGAGGCCTCACCTCAAATTGTGCATTCAGTGTTCGGCTCCTCACTCATTATAGGGCATTGGGGTGCTGGATCTTGTCCAGAGAAGGGCAATGGAGATGGCAGAGGGTCTGGAGCACAAGCCCATGAGGAGTGGCTGAGGGGCTGGAGTTGTTTAATGTGCATAAAAGATTTGTAGTTGTGGCATTTAGGGACAYAGTTTTGTGGTGAACACTGGTGCTGGATTAATGGTTGGACTTGATTATCTAAGGCATGTTCTCCTACCTAAATAATTCTGTGATTCTGGGACCAGTGTGATTGAAACATGAAAACTGTGGAAATACTAACTACAGGGAGTGAAGATGCTTGAYAGAGAAGACTGGCTCACCAGCGATTCCAAGGACATGTCCTGTTTTCCTGTAAGAAAAAAATAGTAGCTTTCAGAGGTGTACATGAAAAGAATAGAGATTCTGAACTAAAATGGCTTGGGTGCCAATGACAATGACTATCAACCTACTGCTGCTACACACAGCTTTGTTCTTTGTTTCTTTGGGAGGTTTTCTGGAGAATCATTCTTTCAGTAATTTGTGAAATCACCTTTTTCCTTTCAAATTTTTAAATAATATCCTCTTACAGGTGTACTGAGAGCTGCAAATTTTTTTTTTTTTTTTTGAAATGATTATGCTACATTCTCATCCCATGGGCAGAAACCATTTATTGTTACTGTGGCAGCATACAGTCTTGCAATGGGAACCTTAGCCTTATTTAATATGAAAATTATYACTAATACATATTGAAGTGTTTATCATAAAAAACATTTTGATAGAAATGGGTGGACCACTGGATAGCTCTGTCATGAAAGCTCTTCTATTTCCTTGCTAAACTGTAAAGGCAAGTTACAGAGTTCACTTCTGAGTTGTTCTGAGATAGGTGTAATCAGTGGTTTGCTTGTCCATTATATGGAATAAAATGATCTGAACTGTATGCCTGGAGAATAAATAAAATGGATAAGAACCACAGAATCTATGGAATGACACAAAGGTCAGTATTCTTTGGTAGCACACAGTATGTATGAGGATATAAGGTTATACTAGGATAGTTTGTATACAGTGCAAATTACTTTTCCCTGGATGGCCACAATGAAAATGAGAAGAAGATCTTCTTTAGAAGAACCTGCACTGTGAGACATTGTTCATCATTACTAGASTTGCAGCGGTTTTTAGGACGCACTAAAAAGGCACAGCAAAGTAGTCATATTTTCACACATGTTTGAATAATGGCTGAAATTTAAAAAAGGAACTTTGCCATGCAAACAGAGAAACATTCATTCCAAACCAGACTCTCTCTTGGAAGTATGAGATTATTTGTATTTACCTTCTCAAAACTACAAAAGACATAAAAAGCAGAAATTTCAGCTCACAGCCTCTATCTCTTCAAAGTGATAAGAGGTATTGCAAATGTGCTTATGAACAAGTCAAAAACCAGCATTTCTCAACAGGTCTATTTTTTAATAATTTGATTCTATGGACGAGATATCAAGCAAATTCTTACTTGTGAACACATACATGATTCCCACTGAATTCTTAAGGAGGTACATTACACAATTCAAATGAAGAACACTCCTTAGGAAGAGCTCCTGGATGACTGAAATGGTTTTAGCTACTTTAGAAAGAAGGATAAAACATAATCTGGATCCTGATTCATCTCTAGTATAAGCTTCAGTAAAGTGGAAGCAAATTAGTAGCTACAAATGGGGYAGAAAAAAGGAGAATAAGGCTTAGGAATTTCTATTAAATATTAAAGAGATACAAAGATCAGTTCTCTGTCCAYGGTTTTGCACAATAGGATATGAATAATTAATTATTAAATATCTAACTCATACAATAATTATGGAGGCAAACAAGTTACTTAAAAAGCAGTTTCAAAAGCTATCTAACGCTAATGTTTTCAGGGAACTCAGGTGCASTCTGTTTTGTTTTCAATGCAGCTGSACTGAGGTGATCCCTGGAATTGCAACATGAGGATCACAAAGAATGGGTATGGTTCTTCTAGATACAGCCAAGGACCCTCTGATATTACAATGTAGAGGTACATTTACATGCACAGATGTATTCAGTGGATGTACAATGAAGTAATTAGTCAACACATTTTATTTACACTGTATGAGGGTAAGTGTGCTTATCGGTATGAGGCATAAAACCACAATTTTGCTGCATGTTTAGCTAATWCAGCTTTTTTATTCTTCAACTATTTGCTGTTCTAGGTTTTTTGTTGTTTTGGTTTTTGTTGTTTTTTTGGTTTTTTTTTAAATAAGTATGCCTCAAAAATGACCCTTCTAAGCATCGATTTCCCAAACTTCAGATTAGCTTATTTAGCAAGCAGGAGCCTTTAATTTTAACTTGTTTTGCAGACTTCACTGAAGTGGAATATGTACTTTACTCCCATTTTTTTTGTGCAGGGCATATTGTTTTCCTGTTTGGCAATACATTCCTAGTAGACCTCAATTCTTCATCTCAAATTACACAGCAATTGCTGTATTGCAATACTTCAATTTCAAGTTTCAAGTATGAGAGCATGTTGTGCGAAACCTGTAATCTTTCAGAAAACCTGCTTTTCTATAGAACAGCAACCAGAAAACCCCAATTCAGACAGAGTTCTGAAACACATTAATGTGCAAACACACAACTGCATTTCAGAAGTAGAAATATTCCAGTAAATGTAACTGTAGATTTTCCTGTAGAACACTGCCATTTAGAGTACTTTGCTTCATGTAATTTGCCTACTTAAGTATTTTAATGAACATCTACCTTTCAGTTTTAGATGGTTATGATACAGATTAGGGTTTATTTTCTCTGTTCTCCACAACAATTTCCAACTGCAACATATGACTAGGCAGAGACGATTGATTATGGCAGGAAACACAGTAATAGGATCTGCAAGATATCATGGAAGAATTAACAAATCAAATGAGAGTAAATTACAATCATAGGAAGAAGTTTGTTAACAAGGAAGCAAGAGCTTTTAGCTCTTACAGTAATATCTTCAATGAGCTGCAAAAGAAATAAACAAGGGAGAAAAATCCCAGATCTCATGGCACTGAATTTATCAGTGATTAGTCCCCACTAATTCCTCAGTGAGGCATAACTTGATTGGAATAATAAATGTGCACTATCCAGGTTAGCTATTTCTAGYGGGAAAACCCTCCACAGAGGTGAATACTAGCTGTGTGAGAGCACTGAAGATGTTGCAAACCCTACAGATAATTTCCTGGTCTGCTCTACACTCATGACCTCCCATTGACTTCTTTAGTCCTGGACTCCAGCTCTTTGGCTATTTCTCTATAAAGTCAACTCTAGCCTAGGAGGCTATATATTCAATAGCTGTTCAATTGAATATATATATATAATGTGACTGAAGGTAATATATGTAGAAAGGATCTTAGGTCTGAGGTACAGGGCAGGGTAATGAAGGCTTGACTCTAAAACTCCAAGTCAAAGCGCCACAGAATGGTTTGATTTGGAAGGGACTTTAAAGAAAACTAGTTCCAACCTGCTCAGTCATGAGCAGGGACACCTTCCACTAAACCAGGTTGCTCAGGGCCCCATCCAAAGTGGCCTTGAACCCCTCCAGTGATGGGACATCTGCAACTTCCCTGGGCAATCTGTGCCAGTGCCTCACCACCTTCAGAAGTTAAGAGTTTTTCCTAATATTCTAATCTTTCAATTTGAACCCACTGCTTGGTTCCCTCCGGACCTTTTGCCACCATGGCAAGGGGACCCCGAAGCGGTCACTGCCACGGTCCCCAATGTTCTCGAGCTTTCCACTGATGASTTACCAACGCTGAAATGGAAAACCGAGCCATCGCCACCCAAGRACCCGCAACAGCCGCCAACTGGCGCCTGTTGCTTTGAGCCCTGCGTCGGGCGGGTCTCGGCACGCCCTGTACTCCGGGCAGGAATTCTTGTGACAGGACACCCCGCTGGCTCCCGGGCCCAGCATCCCGCGTCCCGCCGCGGCGTGAGGGCTCCGCGGAGCTCCGCGCCGGCCCTTGCGGCACGGGCTGACGTCAGCGCCCGCGGCGGGCAGGGCGGGGCGGGGCGGGGCGGGAGCTCCGCAGCAGCGGGGCAGAGCCGTGAGGGGCACAGCCGGGAGGGGCACAGCCGTGAGGGGCACAGCCGTGCCGGGCAGTGCGGGGCCGAGCCGCGCTCCTGCCCCCTGCCCTGGCCCGGCCGGCGCCATGGAGGAGTTCCTGCAGCGCGCACAGTCCAGGCTGGTGAGTCACGGCGGGGACACCGGGCGCGGGACGTCGCCCCACTTGCCAGGGACTGCAGCCATCGGCCTCGCCCCCGCAGCCYCCGGTGCGGTGCCCGCGGGTGCTCTCCGAAACTTCTCGGAGCAGTACTGCGGTCCTCCCGGCCGGGGAGAGGATGGGGCTGGTGACCTTCGCCGCTGCTGTGGCTGGGGTGTGTTTTGGGGGTGCGTTTGCCTCTCACACCTTGCTGCTCTCTAGTTACTGCTGAATAACGCTCTGCTTTACGAGCCCACGAGCCCGTGTCTGACAGGCATTGTGGGGGGTGCCAACAAGTCGTTTTGGGATTATTTGCACGTTTCTTGAGACTTTTAAGATGCATCAAGTTGCACAGTTGAGGAGGGCGTGGAGGGGAGTGATAGATGAAGTCACCGAGAAACTATTATTTCTGTGGTCTAAATGACACTAGCCATAGAGCATAAATTTGGGTAAGCAAGACGTTAAATAACTGAGCAATGTGCAACGATTATCAAGGTTCAACATCATAATTGTGTCTCAGTTGTCATAGATAGTTAATAGGAATCGAGAGGTATATAGSTCCTGTTCTCAAACGACTTGTTGGTAGGGCTGTGCTGAAACTGCAGTGTATTTACCGTGACTGTTAATCTACCCCAGGTCAGTGTGTACTCTTTTCCTCCTTACGTGCCATGCAAAAGTAGGATGTTTTTAAGACTGGGATGGTCTTAGGCCAACTAATTTTCCATTTGGATTTTCTCTGCAAAACTCGATTCTTACTTTTCATGTGTAGCCTACATGCCCACTAGCTATCCCAGATCTAGGAAATGTGTTCAATTATAGAAATAGTGCTCGGTTTCTAAAGAAAAAAAATCCCACAACGGCTGGTTTTATCCTGTGTTTTTGGGTAATTGCTACTTGTAGGGCCTCCCCAGTTTCATAGACCTGTTAAGAATCTCTGGAGAGAGAGCAATCATAAACCCAGGATGCTCTTTCTCTGACAGAACATGGGTCTGTATCTGAAATGATTTGTAAAAGATACAAATGTTACACTATCTTTTCATGCATTGTTGGAAATTAGAGAATTAAGTGATTTGTTTAGAGGACTGACAGAAGAGAAAATTAATCCSTTGGTGGCTTGCTTAATATTTAACTGTGTTGGCAGATACTAAGAGTAAATAAACATGAAGTATGTCATTCTGATCACATGCCAACTAAGTTGTTTTACAATGTATTTTTAGGACCTTTGAAAGTATTTCCCTTGTATTTTCATATAAGCAGTCTGCACTTTGGTAGCCCACTTAAAAGATACTGCACAGTGCAGTTACAAATCCTTACCACATTTTTCATATTAGCATTTCTTGTATTGCCTAATTTGAGCTGGAGATAGTGATGGTTCTGACAAACTTTCTGCTTAAGTACATCATAGGTAGTCTTACTTAATAGACATTAATTATGCAGTGATAGTGCTTCCCATTAGTGAATGGTRAGCAGTAAAAACAACTTGTTTACCTCTAAAAGCAAGTATTGCACTAATCTTTCTGAACAGCTGTTGATGATCAGAAAGGAATTGTCTAGAAAACTAGAATCTGAAGAGGCCCATGGAGAAWGGATAATAGATAATATTACTTCTTTCATTTAGATGAAACTGGGAGCACAGCAACTGAACATATTACACGAACACAGCTCTTTTTATTCCTGTAATGTGGTTTTAAAAAGAAGTGCAGAATTCTCTTTGTACCTTCTAAATCATGGGAGGATAAGACATGTCTTGGAGGAGGCCTTCTTTACAGGAGGTTTTGTGGGGGGATAGTGCCTTTCTGACTGATGTTCCCTTGTTTGGTATTGTCAGCTGAGCGTGGCTGCGGAAGAAGCATCTGAGCACTGGTGTGTTCAGTTTAGAACAGCTCTATAAATCTTATTGGTTGACTTCAGTTTGCCAGTATTTTATAAAAAAATACTAAATATAGTAYTTATACTACAGTGGCCTGAAAAGTGTAAGCCAGAGAAATTCAAGATTTGCATTCTGCAACATGAAAGGCTGATGATGTGTTTCCCTTTCAGTTTGGTCAGGCCTTTTGCAGGACATCTTTTCTCAGCTGGTAGCCATAGGCTGAGTTGAGGCCAGACAAAGAGCACTCTGTTTTGACCCTGATGTAAGGTAAAGCTGTGCAGGGAAATGGGTGAATGACTAAGAATGAAGGAGCTGCTGTGTGTTTTGCCACTGCAGCCAAATCTGTGGAAGATGCTAAAAGGCCTGCAGTTGTGTGTGAGAGGCCTGGTGATGCCAACCTCACCGTGCTGGTGTTTCACATCACAGGTGTTCTTGTTAGGTGAAAAGGATTGCAGTGCGCTGACTACATGATTGTTACCCGGCATGAGTAAAGGAAAATTTTCTCTAGAAGAACAATTGCTCCAGACCATGCAGGGGAACCTATTACTGGAAGTGCTTCGTCATTCATTTGGGTCTGGATCCAGGCACAACATTAATCAAGGCTGTTTATCCACACGGAGCAATTTATAGCCTCGGAGTATGCTGCACAAAGGACATGCCTGTTTTTTGTTTTCYAAGGCTCTTTTATTGCGGACCTTCATTGATTGTTGGACAGGAAAGTTCTCTGTGTATTATCTATTAATAATAAAGTCTCCACTAGACTATTCTTTTTTAAAGAACAGTGCTTTTGTAGCTTGTCATCTAACTGTAAAACACCCTCTGTAATTTTCAGTATCAATCTTTAAAGCTRTTATGTATAATCTATGTAAAATCAAGGAGACAATAGTTTAGAAAGCAATATATGTCAGGATATAAGAAATGCTAGACTGACACTTTTTCACATTTTTTGTTCAGTTCTGCATATTTTTCTCCACTTTTGTATGTCTAGTAATGATGTGAGAGTAGATGAGAGCAAAAGCCCTTCTAAACCATTCTGTCATGTCTGGTGCGGGCTTATAAACAGTAGAATACACAGGCTGATCAGGTGCTGAAAGCTTAGATCAAAATGTATAGCTGAACTAACATGTTAGTCACAGCTAGAACCATCTTCCATACATCTGGCTTGGCACATCATACATCATGTGCTTGTTTTTTTTATGTTTTGGCTTCAACAAAATCCCTGAGGCAGTGGGTTTTACTGTGTTATCATGTGCTAGGTGTGAGGGGGACAGTATCCCTCTTTGGTGCTCTAMATTGCCTGACAATTTTAATGTTTGTTCTGTGATTCTTCTACTTGAGTGCTTATTTTTATTTCACTTTGTCTCTGGTCTTTCGTTGTGTATGATCATATTCTCCTTGTCTTCTTTCAGGCATTTCCAAGCTAAGGTTTTCTGTTGCCCCTTCACACATGAGCATTGCTCTGCTCATTCTTGTGCCTTTTCTCTGAAGATTTAACTTTTTGAAAGCTGTGGAACCCAGAACCACGTGTCAGGCGTCAATTATGACAGCAGTATCATGACTTCTCTTTTTTTCCCATTTTTTTAATGGTTCTTGGTATCCTACTTATTCTCTTTTACTATCAGAAGGCGTTTTTCTGATGTTTTCAGAGTATCATGTAGACTGACTGCATGGTGTTTTTTCTGCTTAGTAATACCCTTTTTACAGCTYGTCTGACAGTGCACAGCACCTCAGTACAGTTAAAAATGAAGATGGGTTGTTTTCTCACATTTTCGCTTATCTGCAYTTCTTGGCCCTCATTTCCATTTACTATTTTATTCTCTAGTCCCTCAGTGTCATGAGTCCTTTCTGAGGTTCTTATAGCCAGTTATAGATTTGACTCTCTTAAATAATCTGGTATTGTCTGCCTGTCCTACTGGAAGTAATWTTATTTATTATTTATGGATATGAGAAACAGCACATATCCCAGCACATAACCACTTGGAGAATCCTTCATTTTTCTTCATTGAAATACAGACCATTTTTCTTGTCCTTTCTTCCTTAACTTGTAAGTTTTCAATATGTCACAAAATGATTACATCCCCTTTTTCATTGGTGATTTTGTCTTTATTGGCCTGTAGGAAGCTTTTCAGTAATATTTTGGAAGAYGCAAATAGACCACATTGACTTGCTCATGCTATAAAGTTCTTATCAAGAACTTTTTTGTACATAAATGTCATACTTCACAAACATTGTCTTTTCCCCAGTATATTATGTTATTAGTGTCTCTGGATTAGACACTTTCATGTACGGACAAGCTACCTATTTGGAGAAGGGGGACTGATCAGTCAGTACATAACTTTGAATCATTTATTCAGGGAAAAAAAAATTAGGGTTTTGGTTGTATAACTTCAGAATGATTATCRGAGTAATTATCAAGATGTTAAAGTCAATTGAATAGAGAACTAAACATTCAGAAAATATTTCTTCAGTAATTCTCTGATGTGGAATACTGTGTACTGGAGAAGGTACTTAAATTCAGTATTGTTCAAGTAATCTCATGTGCTTCCGGGTGTTACATTAAATGATTGCGAGAAGTTAAATCAAGGGAATCTGTAAAGAAGCTGTCAGAATTTWAAAAAAAAGTTACAGAATTCCCTCTGGGAGATGCTGAGACTGGGGCTGCCAGGGAGTGCTTTTTCCCTGGCTTTAGGTCTGTGCCTAATGGGGAACCTAATGCTTTGTACGTTGGCTTCAGGGAGCTCAGAGAACAGAATGAGCCCCAGAAAAGGCTTAATGTGCTGATAATACTGAGATAAGCACACACTGCAGCAAACTGCTTCGAACTAGTAATTGAAAGATGGTCCTCTTCCTGCAGAGAATAGCAGATTAGCTGGGGAAATAATCTTCCTGAATGCTATGTCATCTTCAGCTGTTAACATCATTTGGGAAAAAAGACCTCCAAACGCTCTAAAAATTGAAGTTTCTTTAATCCCTTGCTGGTACTAGAAAAAAGACTGTAATGCTAGACCAGTGTTACACYGGCAGGGTAACACATTGGATAAACAGGGAATTATGACCCCAGAARGTGTGCTCATAGAAATATTGGACTGTGTGACTGGACATTTTCCTAATTGAG